GGCGCCATCTGCCATCCATGCCCAGACGAACCCCTAGCCGGCCTACGCGACGGGCGTCCTCCCATCGGCCTCGACATCGCCAGCAACTATTCCCGGCACATCCAGTACATCCCGCCTGTCTGTGGCGCAGCAGGCACAGCACCTGCACACTCGCCCGTCGCACCTTCCTCACGCCTGGCGCACTACGTCTCAACACCACGTCGGCTGTCCACGTCCACCACCCACAGCTAGCAGCCCCGGCCTCGCATCAGCCCTAGGCGATCAAAAGGACGCGCTCCGCCAGTTCACGCACCCTCACTAGCACATGCATCCACAGCCATGGCCGGCTTTACCCATTTCCTCAAGGTGAGTGACAGCTGTCACGTACAGGAAGCTTGGGCGGTGAGCGCATAACGCGACCCACCGCGCACACCAACCCCATGTGGAGGCTGACGATGCGCCTCCAGACCATCCTCGTACCACTCTTCCTCGCTGCCCTCCTCTATGTCCTGCTAGTCTTCCTCGTGCTGCCCTTTGTGCGCCGGCACCGCAGCCGTTATAGCCAGTACCTGCCTATGCCCGCGAGTGTGACCGACTTCCCGTCCTCTTGGCGGACGAACCTCTCGGATGCCCTATACAACCTCTTCGCGCCTTCCGCTTGGGTCAGACAGCGCGCGATTGTGGACGGGAGCGGACAACACGACGATGACTTGTTTGACGACGAGGAGGGGGAGGGCATGGTCGGCTTTGACCCCATCGATGAGAGGCGGAGAGAAGCCCTTGAACAACGCCGGAGCATCATGGAGGAAGAGCGGCGGTTAGGACGCGAGCTGGAGGAAGGCTTCAAGGATGACAGTGAAGATGAGCATGAAGACGAGAGGCGGCGGTCCTTGTCACGACATCGATGATTTCTATAATACCCTTCCTCATACAAGAAAACACGAACAACTGCACTGCCGTCTACATTAGCATAAAAGCTGAAGTTATGTAAAGCCCTAAGGTAATGTGGACTTCTAGGAGGTAGGTGTCCGAACTTTTCGTATGAGGTGTTTGCATCACTTTGCGTACAATTTGGAACTTTCTCATGCATCACATCATCGGCTGGAGTTGGAGTTGGAGTTCAGGTGGATATATTCATGTACATAGGTAGGCGGAAATACCCATTCGACGCCCAAGCCTAAACAAAGAAATTCGTGCCAAATCGCTCAAAGAAGACAGAAGGCTGCTGAAGAAAACCGCTCCTCTACTTGCGCTGACCGTACGCCTTGGTGGCGTAGTCGCCCTTGTGAACGATCAAGTCCTCAGGACTAAGGTACGAAGTCAGTATATGTCTTACATGTATTTTGAACAGTCAGAACTTACCGGTAGTTCTCGCGGCCGGAGAAGTACTCGTCGAGGATAGCCTTGGTGCCGTTGGCGTATCGCTCCTGGGCATCGATCGAGGTACCGGACATGTGAGGAACCATGGCGTTGCCGCCGCCCCATGGGTTCTGAGCGTAGCGGAGCGGGTGGTCCTTGGGGGCGGGCTGAGGGAACCAGACGTCACCACCGTATCCACGGAGGTGGCCGTCCTTAAGAGCCTGGGCAACGTCCTCCTTGACGACGATGGCACCACGGGCGGTGTTAACCAACCATGAGCCCTTCTTCATCTTGGAGATGAGGTCCTTGTTGAAGAGACCACGGGTCTTCTCGTGGAGCGGGCAGTTGATGGTGACAACATCACACTGGGCCAACATCTCCTCGAGGTTCTCGACGCGGCGGCAGCCAATCTCCTTCTCCTTCTCAGGAGAAAGGGGCTGGTAGTCGAAGTACAGAAGCTCCTTGCAGTCGAAGGGCTTGAGACGGCGGAGCACACGCTCACCGATACGGCCGACAGCGACGGTACCGACAACCTTGTTCTCGAGATCGTACTCGTTCTTGGCGACCTCGGCGACGTTCCACTCTCCCTTGGCGATCTGCTCGTGGGCGGGGACGAAGTTGCGAACAAGGGTCAGGATGGTCATGACAACGTGCTCGGCGACGGAGACGACGTTGGAGCCGGTGACCTCGGCGACGGTGATACCGCCGTTGGTCTTGTTGGCGGCATTGAGGTCGACGTGGTCAGATCCGATACCAGCAGTGACGGCAAGCTTCAGGTTCTTAGCCTTGGCCAGGCGCTCTGCGGTGAGGTAACCGGGGTGGAAGCTGTTGATCGCGATCTGTTAGCTGATGCTGGCTCGGATGGTGTTTGCAGCCTTAGCGCGTCCGGCCGAAGCTTGACGCGTGCATGTGGGGCGCTTAGCGGCATTGCGGGGTAGCTCTGACGTACGGAGTGGTAATGATAACCTCAGCATCAACAAGGTGCTTGTCGAACTCGGAGTTCTCGCCTTCCTTGTTGGAGGTGGTGACGAGCTCGTGGCCTTGCTCCTCGATCCACTTCCTGATGCCTAGCTCGTTCTCGGTAGTTCCGAGCATGCGAGGCTCCTGCTCAGCGTGGACACCACCCTAGTGTTGTCGTTAGACATGCCAACGCGCATTGGGAGTACCATGGACACTTACATCGTAGAGGACGAGAAGAACTTTGCCCTGTTGTGAAGCCGTCGCGGTCAGCGTTCTGAAAGCATTCGGTTGGCGGAGCGACGAAGTTAATCGAGGTCCGGCGCGTGCGCTGAGGAGGGAGGAGGCAGGGCGCGCAAGGCGAGAAGCAGATCGGAGAAATACCATTTTGACTTATTGAACTGATAGTAGAACAATTGAGGCTCCGAGGGAGAGATATATAGTAGAAGCCGGCAAAGGTACAACGAATGGTACGTATTCCTGACGCAAGGTATGTCAGCCTATCGTCCCGGCAGGGGGGAAGTGAGGGGTGCGTGGGTCGGTATACCTCTTGCGGGCCGAAGTGACGTCGGTGTATGGTAGAGAAGTTAAATGGAAGACCGGATGCTACACTGGACAATGTTGGTGTTGTGAGAGCAATTGAGGGGTTCGTGAGGGGGCTTTTATATACCGCCGAGCAGCCGCACGATCTTCTCACTACTTTCAGCCTCTGATCCCTGGGTCACCAGGCAGACGAGGTCGGTCATCCCCACTTGGTGATGCGACATTCCCACACAGACAAGTGGTCGCTGCGGGTGTGACGGTCGTGTTTGGAATTACTTCGCATCGCTGATAGTGCGGGGTCGCGTCCAATGGCGCGAATCAGCTCACAGACGCGCCAGGGGAGCTCTACCAGCTGCTTACCCGTTTGATACTCACGAAGCTTCGCCGAGAAGCCCGTAGCGTAGTCTGCGGGCGTGGGTCAACACGGTAGCTCCAGTAGCGCGTGGTCGTTTGACCCGATCGAGCAAGAATGTACGTAAATCGAGGCCTGGGAGTGGCACTTCACTGGCGTACGCTAAAGCTCCATATGGAGAGCTCCCGAATAGCTTCAATTCGGCATTGTGGAAGGATCAATATGGTTTACGGAGCTGGTATTGTGACTCTCAGAGGCCCGAAGGTCGTGATGAAGTGTTGTTCGAATGGCTGTCCACAGGGCTTTCGCTGGGTTCCAGCTTCCAATGCGACCACAGGAAAATGCATCTTGCGTAGAGAGAACTGTGGGCTCGGACGACACACCCACAGCATCTCTGGAAGGTCGTGCCCGTGCTAGCGATGGCAAATCCAAGGAAAGTGGGCTTGCGTCCGAGCAATCTAGATGCCGCTTTGTACTTTGTCCGCGGCAGCACAGGAAATGCGGAGCTGCAGCGGTTCAAGCTCGCAGTCTGCGGATGCGAGATGTCGCCGTTGCGTCTGACGAAACTCGCGGGAAGCCAGGGCGACGGTCGGCGCAGGGGGTTTGTCTCGGTTTAGACGGCGGCAGGCTGGAGATCGTTCTTATCTTTCGGCCGAAGCTCGTTCGGAAGGTGCGCGCGCGCCAAATTCGCGTTTCGGTAGTTCCAGCTTCCAGGTACCCCACCACATCCACAGAATGACACTACGCATCCCTTCTCCCGATGTAGCTGAGAGACCCGATGGTGTCATAGTGTCATCTCGCCGACATCTCACGGAGGCATCTTCTGTCGATGAAGAGACTCAGCTATCCGGTCCCGCTCTTGCCTATCGTTGTATTACTCACACAGCTTCTCCGGCAGCTCCGCATCCTCTCGATCACCTTCATCACAGCTCAAAGATCAAGTCGCCTGACATCTTTGTATACAACTGATACTAGCTTTTATAATAGCCTTCCCGCCCTCCACGAGACTGTCTAAACCCTCGCATTGCTGCGTTCACGATCATAATTGTGAGGTGTGCGCCGTACAGGCCATAATGTCGTCACACCGTCCCACCTTACCTAGGTATACAAGGAAAAAGCTGAACAGATCTAGGGCCTACATCAACGCCAGATCACCTATCTTGTAGGTTTTCATGTTGATGTAGGCTGCAGGCCTGTTCGATTTTCTTCTTAGTTAACGTAGTCCTAAAGTCAGACAGTCTGTAAAAGAGCTTCTGGTAACTCTCGGTGCTCTATGCATCAGCGAATTGTATTCGAGTCGCACTCTACGCAGGGGTAGGTAGCTGGAACGATTGTTGGTCTTGCTTTACCACCTGGGTAGCTCCAATCCGCCCTCAATCAGATGACGACAGGACTCCGGAATACGTCGGATAACAGTACACAGAAGCCGTAAAGGAATGGAACATGGAATTCATCGCAAGAGCTCATTTGAATGGAAATGAAATCTTCCACCCAGCAATTCTAGCGCTCTCTTACCCATCCCACTAAATGGCTCACAAACAAAGTGAAGGTGAAGGTGAGCGCGAGTAAGCCCATGCTCCAATTGCGACCCATAGCGCAGTCAGAACCTTCCAATCACCATCCTTCCTACACTCTTCTGAATCAGCCTTTTACATTGGGACGCGAATCAAGGTTCTTCTTCTTCCACCACGGATCCAAAGAAGGCAAAGTCTCCACGCTGGCTACTCCACGGAAGCGCACGTCTGAGGGTGAGTCCCCATCAAGCTGACAGCAAAAGTCGTATACTGACATCATTATAGGTACTGCCACAATGTCTACAACCAGAGGCAACGCAGAGGTCATCGCGAAGAAAGGCGATGTCATACTCCAGCTAGGGAAAGACGGGGTCGGAGAGGGTGTTCGAAACGTCCTTGTCGCATCCGTGGCTCTTAGCCTCGCTTCACCTGTCTTTGCAGCTATGTTTGACGGTCGCTTCTCCGAAGGCCAGAATCTCTCGCCAGCTTCACCACGTACAGTCCCGCTTCCGGATGACGATCCTGAGTCCATCATCATGATCTGCAAGATCGCACACATCCAGACATCGCAGCTTCCCGTCAAAACCACCGCCATGGCAGTGTCCAAACTCGCGCTCGCATGTAACAAGTACAACTGCGTGGATGGGGTCAGATCATGGGCTATCATCTGGATCGCCGCCCTTCTTGGAGATCCCGAAGCTGCGGACTTCGAGAAAATGCTTCTTGCTACACATCTCCTCGAGTTGCCGGGTGAATTCTCCAGGGTTTCTCAGAGATTGGTGCGAGGTCAAACCGCGATCTTCAGCGTCACAAAAGCTATGGACGGTCACGAGTTCTTACCTTTGCTTGTATATGAGCATGTACTGTTTTGCCAGATGAGTTATCAGAGGGATATCATTACGGCATTTGCTTCGATTGTCACAGGAAATGAGTTCTGCCAGGCGACCAAACTGGCCATCAGTACTTTCCTTCGAGACCTCAAGCGCGTCGGTCTATGGCCCATCAATCAGTACTCAGTCCCGATCATCAAGTCCAGACTTGAAGCCGTGCCTGAAGCAACCACCAATTATGGAGATAGCCCTTATAGGTGCACTACCTCAACCTGTGTCTGTAAGTCTGTTACTCGTCACATCAAGGCCACCCTTATGGCCGAGATCGATAGGATATGTGAGACGGTGGAGGGTCTTTGCTTGGACTGTGTTCGTCAAAAGGTACTCGGGGAGCAAAAGCGGGAGTGTCGCGTGTCCCATGCGCTGAAGGGAGCAACGGTCTACCCTTGATCGCCTTACGGATCCCGCATCAAGGCACGCATACTTCTATCATAAAGTCTGGAAATAGTATGGTATCCTCGGAATCGTGCTACATCTCTTCCTTCGCACGAGTTTGAGACGCAGGATATCGTGGAGCCCTTTTTGTTACAAAAACTAGGCCCGAGGATAGAAGCTCTATCGCATCGGTTCTAGCTCGGCCTACTCTTCTTGTGTGATAGTTTAGTTCCTTAGGCGTTAGGCCTACCTTAGGCTAACAGCCTATACTATATATATTTAACTCCTAAGTACTTTTTTTAAGCCTTACTATAATAACATTATAATTTAATATAATATTAACTATCTAATCTCTATAAGACTTTTACACGTTATTATAGTCTATTAGAATCTTACGCTAAGTCTGCAATATATTACACTATATTATCTAACTCTCTATTACCTAGCGCTGCTAGTGCGCGTAGTAACACTTCTACTACTACGCCTAAGCTAGAATAGGTAGTAATTATCTCTAGCGTCTTCTCTACTCTATTCTTTCTTAAGCTAACTATAGCGTTAGTTACCTAAAGCGCTAATTAATTCTAGTATTACACTACGCTATTCTAATAGGCGTTTAGCTCTATCTTATTTAGCTCTTTTCTACCTAGCTAGTTATAGAATTCTCTATAGCTTCTACGCTTAACTAGTAGTGCTAACCTCTATAAGAGTAGCTTATCTAATATCTTAGATAGCTTTAACTTTAAGAACAACTTCTAGTTTAATTCTAATACCTAGACTTATTACCTTCTTAACTCTAATAATAAAGCTTTCTAAGATAAAAGTAATAGTAATAGTAATAGTAATATTAATATTACTACTATCTACTATTAAAAGAACTTTATAGAGCTTTCTAAAAGCTCTAAGAGCACTAAGAGTATCTCTTTTAACTTATTTCTTAATATTACTAAGAACTATAGCAGCGCCTAAGATAATGTCTAGCTTTACTATAGTTCTTTTACTAACGCTCTTACTTACGTCTATAGTAGTAGCTTTTATATTCTAGGCTCTTTCTAGATAGTAGCTAAGAAAGACGTAAATATCTACTAGTAAGATAAAGCTTACGTGTTTTCTCTATTCTTTCTCTAAGATACTTATTATCTACTATTCTCTACTAATAAATCTATCTAGAATAATAATAAAAGTAATAGTAATAATAATAGTAGTTATAATAATAGTAGTAATAATAATAAGCCTAGTAGTTACTATAATATAGCGCTGCTCTAGTAATAGTAGTATAAGATTACTAGGTTTATATAACCTAAGGCTAACTAAGTTAAAAGTAAATATTCTATTCTTAGCGCTTATAAGTATAATAGTAATAGTAATCTAGTATATATTAGTAATCTTAATAAAGTTATATTAGAAGGCGCTCTAAGTTCTATTAATCTTAACTAAGTTATCTATATAATTAAATACTGCTTTAATACTATCTATCTTTTTAATAAGAATCTTACTATTACTAATAATAGAGTTATATAGGTTAAAGAAACTCTAGTTAATAAATATAATACTAACTATACTTTATATATTAAGGCTGCTATAGCTTATAAGTTTATAAGTAACTTATATAATTAACTTATCTAGTTAGATAGTAAGTATACTAATCTAATAGAGTAAGAGCGTTAAGTCTATAGTAAAGCTTACTATTTCTTCTAAGTATAGACGTAGCGTATTACTAACGCTATTTAATACGCTAAAAAGGCTATTAAGCGTAAGAATATCTATAAAGCTACTTATAAAAATAAGTATAAGAAGTACACTACTACTTATTAAGAAATTACCTACCTTACTCTTCTTACTAATACTAACTAGGCCTCTATAGACTTAGACTTAGATAACTCTAATTTTAGTAATAACTCTAATAGTCTTATTAGTGCGCCTTACTCTAGTTATAATTATCTCTTATAATAACGCTGTAAACTAGCTCTTCTACTAGTTTAGTTATCTATCTCTACTAGTTACTATCTAAAGTAGCCTAAGCCTAGCGTCTTTATAGGTAAGTCTAGTATAAAGTCTAATAACTACTATAAGTAGAAGCTTAATATATAGAGCTAGTTCTATATCTATACTAATATATATAATAATAATAAAGCTCTATAACTTAATTACTTACGTATACGCGTTACTAGCTCTATATAGGCTACTATATAGAATAGTTAGTTAGTTAATAGTAAAGAGTTTACTATAGTTAACTAGGTCTAGAAAGTTCTTAACTTAGTCTATAGTTAGTTAAACTACTACTTTAGTACGTATACTTTTTATAATAAAGAAGACGTAATAAAGTTAAATAAAAATATTAGCGCTTATCTTATCTACTTTAAGGCTAGTATTACTTCTCTTAAGTAAGATAATAAAGAAAAAATTCTTTACCTTTATAAGAAGCTTTCTGCGTACTAGTATACTTATATTAACTATATTATAGATAATAATACTTTTTCTAAAAACTTTAGAGCTTTTAGTAAGAAGCTCTAATATCTTAAATAGATAAACACTACTCTCTACTCTAAGACTATAACTACTACCTACTCTACTAGAGTAGAAAGAAGTAGTAGTAGAGATAGTAGTAGTAAAAATAATAGAGGTAACTATAGTTATAATAACGCTATAATAGTAGTCTCTACGTCTAGTAATAGTCTATAACCTATTATTTCTAAGGCTTACTTAGGCTATAAGCTTATTAAAACTTAAGTATTATGTAATATAGAATATTACTATAAGTGCACTAAGGTTAGCTATAAGTCTAACGCTTTAGACGCACTTTACTATAACTTTAAGACGCCTAGCTCTATAGCCTACTACTCTAAGGTTTTTACTATCTTTAATAAAGCTTATTATATTACTAGTGTTTCTATCTCTAAGGCTACTATTTAAGTTAGTATAGTTAATACCTAGCTTCTATTACCTAAGTTCTCTTCTATAGAAGTAGAAAACTAGTAGTCTCTAGTAAATATTATCTCTAGAAACCTTTATTACATAAACCTATTACACTATCTATTACTCTTAAGTTACTTACTTTACTATCTACTCTATCTTTTTCTATTACTTCTCTATATATAGAAGACTATAATAATAAACTAGACTCTACTCTAAAAGCTATATAGAACTATATTATAGTTTTAGAATAAGCTTCTTAGACTAGAGTCTATATCTTATTAGTTATAGCTACTACTATCTATAGTAATTTATACTAGCTCTTAGTTAGTAAGTAACTAGTTTTTAAAGAAATAATATTTTCTTTATCTATAACTTTCTTTTTATAATATATTAAACTTATAGATAACTTTAGATACGTATTTATATTTATTAATAGCGCTTATATACGCGTATATTACTATACTCTTATTCTACTCTTTAACCTAGCTATTTTAGAACTAGCTAATAGCTCTAAAGTTACTAGAGTTACGTATATAACCTAGATTAATATTACTTTTAATAACTATACTAAATAAGTTACTATCTACATTACTAAGCTCTCTAGAGTCTAGATAATCTTAGAAATACCTTAGTTCTAACTATATTAGCTTTAGATTAACTAGAAAACTATATTATTAGTCTTCTCTTCTAATTACTACTTATAGTAGTGTATCTCTAACTATAAACTCTATCTTACTTAGAGTAGCTACTACTATAAGCGCGTTCTAAATCTAAGTATAGCTTAATACCTAAAAACTTCTCTAGTACTTAATATTACTATAATATTTAGTTAAGTAGTAGCTATAGCTATATCTTAAAGTAAGAATATACTTATTACTACTATAAAGAAAGTATATTGCTTAGTAGCTATAACTAATAATAAATAGTAAGATAAGTAGTACCTCTAAGCTACTAGTACTAAAGTACTACTAGAGAACTTTAAGAAGTTCTAAAATAAAATATAGTAACCTCTTCTAAGTAAGAATAAGATCTTATCTAAACTTTCTAAGGTACTCTACTCTATATTCTATAGCTTTAACCTATAAAAAGCTAAGAAGATACTATTTAACTATTATAATATTAACTATAAAATTAAACTTTAGCTTAACTCTAATACTAAATAGCTATCTAAGCTATTCTCTTAATAACTAAGGCTACTATTCTATAATAAGGCTTAGACTATAAAGCTATATATTAATAATATACTCTAAAAGAGATATATTAAAAGAGTAATATTAGAGTAGATAGTACCTCTTCTTATTATAAAGAAACTTAGAAGTAGTATTTATATTTACGTTAATTACTATAGTTTTAATATCTACACTATTAAGAACTATAACACGCCTTTTCTTATTTAGAATATACTTACTAAGTTATCTAAAGCTAAGTACTTCTTAAAAGTTAATATTATTACTATTTTTAATAAGATATATATTAAGAAAGAATATAAGTATCTATTAGTATTTATTACTTTATATTATCTCTATTAGTATATAGTAATACCTTTTAAAATATATAATAGTCTAGAAACTTTCTAAGCTTATATTAATAATATTTTATATAAGTACCTTAATAAGTTCTATATAGCGTACTTAGATAATATTATTATTTTTAGTAAGACTATAGTAGAGTATAAGAATTATCTTCTTTATATAGTTATCTATCTCTCTAATACTAGCTTACTTATAAATATTTTAAAGTCTAAATTTATAAAGTCTAAAGTTAAGTTTTTAAGTTTTATTATTACTACTAATAGAATTAAGATAAACTCTAATAAAGTAAAAGTAGTATAAGACTAGAAAGTACTATAAACACTTAAGAACATATAAACCTTCTTTAGCTTTACTAACTTCTACTAATACTTTATCTATAGATTTTCTAATTTAGTAAAGCTTTT